AAAATGAAAAAATGCGATTTAAGAAGAGTTAAATTTACTTTCAAAACGTGAAGTTTTGGACTTATAATCCACATATCAAATGGTGTAAAACCAATTAGGTACACAGACGGGTTTTTGTGTGCAAATGAAATGAGAAAAATGAGATCATTAGATATAAAGCACGGCTTATAGCATAAGAGTTTTCACAAAGACCTTGTGTTGATTATGAAAAGATATATTCTCCTGTGGTGGATGCAAATCACTTTAAGATATATAATTAGTTTGGCGGTTTATAGAAAATTTGAAATGTATTTAATGAATGTTGTTACAGCATATTTATATGGTTCTTTAGATGCTAAAATTTATATGAAAATCCCTAAAAGATTTAAATTGCCAGAAACATGTAAGAATTCATGAGAAAATTATGCAATTCATTTGCATAAATCCTTATATGGATTAAACAATCTGGAACAATGTGGTATAACGGACTTAGTAAATATTTATTGAAAGAAGGTTACAAGAATGATCGAATTTGCTAATGCGTTTTTACTTACTGTCTTATTTATAAACTCTATCTAGGATTTTTTAATTTTTCTCTAATTTTTGTTTTTTAATTTCCCTCAATTATGACTCATAATATAATTTCCTATTTAAGCACCAAATTATCAACAAATTGTGATTTTTTATTTTTATTTTTGTTTTTTTTCAAATTTTCAAAATTACAAGCCCAACAGATATTTCTAAATTGAGGAGTTAATCATCTTAAATGAGAAATTTGATTTTGATTTTTTTTTAAAGTCCATCCTATATTTCCTAATTTGAGGGTCAATTGGCTTTTAATTTTCATCTTTTATTTTATTACTATTCATTGTAAGAGGGATATTTTTTTTAAATTTGTCACAGGGTGGATTTCTCAAACTTAGTTTCTAAGAAAGAATCAAGAAGGTTATTAATATTTTATTATTGTTTTATTTCTTTTATTTATTTTTTATTTACATTTAATATTTCTTGTGAGGCTCGGATAAAATTGGGTGTTTACTTCTCTGGTCTCCTTATTTCTTCTAGTTTTATAACAGTTATGACATTACTAGCTTATGAATAATATGTCTTTTTAAATTGTATTTAAATTGCATCTCATTCCAAATTTAAAAAATATAATATAAAAAAATAACTCAATATCACTTTCTATTTAACTTCCACACAATGGCGGGTTAAATTGTGATTAATGATTAATCCATAGTACATAATACCAGATTAAGAAAATTAAATAAATTATTTAATTATATCAAATTACTTGACCTCCTTAAATTATCATTGTTATAATATTAAATTATAAGCTAGATAAATTAATTTAAAAAAACTAATAAATATGACATATAAAATAAACAAAGATACTATATTTATGATTAGATTCAACCTGGTTTTATATCCTTATGCTTGAAAATATAAGTATCAAATTTTGGAAGGGATTTTTTTCTATAAGATACAATTTGAACTTGTCTAATCATTTAATGTATTTTTTTTTTCATTTTTACCTCTAATTAATTGTATGTCTCTCACACATTTTTTTCACTTATTCTCCCATATATCTTTTTACACTTATTCTCTCTCCCACAGTCCCACTTACCTTCTCCATAAATTAGGGTGTTTTAGAAAAATAAATTATATATTTATTGTTTTAAACTAATTTCAACCGATTCTTTTGAGTTATGTTATTTAATTATTTGATGTTTATATGTTGAAATTAAACAAAATCATGTGCCTGGAAAGAAAACTTTATTCCATCAAGAATGACGTGGATTTGAAATTATGAATTTGGAGAAGAGAATGCCGTGATCATAAAGGATGTAGGGGCAAGTCAAGTTGACCAGCTGGCGCTCAAATGTCAAAATTGGCAGCGACTAATGGGTTTGAACGCAGTGGACGTGTCACATCAAAAGAAATATCTAAGCGGTGGAGAGAAAAAGTGGCTCATAGTGCCCGTTTGGATGAGCGATTGGAAAAACTGCTTATTAAAAAAGCAACTTATGGATAAGTAAAGTGGGGTAAAAGCTAAATTGGATAAGTTGAATTGTGTTTGTATTGGAGTTCAAAAAAGCCCGTTTGCAAAAGTGAGATTGGCAAAAGGTTGTTTGGATTAAGATTGAGTAAAAGTAAGTTTAATTGTAAAATGACCAAAATAGATATATGACTTTATTAGATAATGTAAAATGAAAAAAAAATTATAAATTTACATAATACCATAATTTTAAATTATTTTAATTGGAAGAAGTTAATTTTAATGAAATAAATATATTTAGCTTAGAAAATTTACAGAACATATTTTTTAATATGGAAATAATTTCTAAATTTATATTTAATTCAAATAAAAATTTCCTAATATATCAAAATCTGGGCCACGTAACTTGCAACAGAACCGGTCAACTCTTGCCTTGCTCTCGATGGTGTGATGGCGGGCGGCAGTTGATTAGGCGACGACAAGACAAGTTGGACGAGAAGAGGAAAGGAGTAGATGAAGGGGCAAAAGAATGGAGCCAAGTGAGTGGAGAACAGGGGCAAAGAGTGGGAAAGGTTTTTTCTGAGAATAATTTATTGTTTTAACAGTACCTTACCGTCTATCTGTAAGCACGACGAAAAAGCCATAAGTAACTCTGAGGAGCTTAACTGAATCGGGCTTATGAATTCAGCTTTTAGCCATAAGTAGGATAGATAATAAGCTCATCCAAACAGGGAGCTTATAAGCTGAATAAGTTACTTTTAAGTTCTTCAAATGCTTGAACAAACAGGCCCATAATTAGTTTCTTTGTTATCTAGTTTTCAACTGCGTAAAATTAAAAAAAAAATCATGAGATTCAATTTAGTAAAAAAAATTAGTCTCTCACAGTATAATGAACCAAAATTTAAATATCTGTTTTTTTTAACGGTATCTTGAGTAAGATTATTTAGATGTATATATATATATATACACACACATATGTGTGTGTATATAGTTTAAAAAAAGTAAAAAAAGAAATTAAAACCTCATTTTGGGAGAAGTTTATTCAGTCATGATAGCTTTTGAAGAAAAATTGAACTTTTGAGCATTCGCTTCTGTATCCACTGAGCACGACCTTGACTATCTCATTCAATTCATATATCTGAATTCCTACTGGTGATTCTTCAAAGTTGCCTTCCATCATCAGCCAGCAATTATTACAAAGATATTTGGGGAAATTAACAAGAGAAAATGACAATTAAATCCCACCTAAAGGAATTAAATACAATATTTTAAACTCATAAAATTATTCTGAGATCTCAAGAGATTTTTTTACAATAAATTTATTTGTTTAATTATCAAAATTGTTCTTTTTTTTTAAGTTTGTATTAATAACTGAAAGAGCAGTTATTGACAACTTAAGGTGTAAAGATTAACCACTATCGTGGTAAGTATTGACAACACATTTTCTCAGGACATTACAAAATGTAATGCATGAGTTATCAATACCTGCCGTTATAGTTGTTAATCGTTGCATCTTAAGTTGTCAATCGTTGTTCTTTCAGTTGTCAATGCAAACTTAAAAAAAAAAAGAGTAATGTGTTAAGTAAACAAATAAAATTTATTGTAATAAGATCTTTTGGGACTTCAGAATAATTTTATGATTTTAAGAAACTTTTTGTATTTAATTTTTTTAAGTGAGACCTAATTATAATTTTTCCAAATAACAATGACTAAAAGAATTCATAATTTTGTCTTATTGACGTTGACTAGGTCATAAATTTAAAAGGAAATTAAATTTTGGAAGTTGAAACAGAAGTTCTATGCCATGAAGTTCACTCACAAAACTAATTTTTTAATTATGAACTAATTAATATCAATATTATGTAGTAAAATATTAATTTGGTGATTTCAAATGACAAACTACTAGGTGTCCTCAAATATGGCGCATATGTAAGGGTTTATATGAATAAGGCTTCGCAGAAAGTAATATAAATGGTTCTTGACAAGCAAAATTATCATTTTTTTCAAGTATTCAAGGAGAGGATGTCATTAACAACATTACTCTATGGAGCTCACATCTTGTTTTTACATTAAACCCCCCCCCCCCAAAAAAAGAAAAAGAAAAAATATATTACTTTCAATGTTTAATATGAGATTTATTAACGCAAACTTTATACTAAGGATTCATTTTCACATATATAAAAAATTTGGATTGCATGAAAGGGTGTTCTTCCTTCATTTCTTTGCGGAAAACTTGAATGGTCAATGCAAGGCAACATATTGAATTATTTGCGTGTGTTTTTTAGTTGAGCTACCCATCATTAGTTCATGTTTTGTTTTTAGCCGAGGGTGTTTAGAAAACGAAAGGATCAATTAAGAAAAAAGCTCTTTATCTCATATAATGCAAAATCACTCAAAATAAATTAATTCAAATATACCAACAAGCTATTAGTTAAAGTTATAAGCAGCCTTATTCTCAAAAAAAAAAAAAAACGCAAGCTCGAATCCAAAAAGCATATTTATTGGAAGAGACAAAAATTGTTTGCGCTCTAAGTCTTTTAAAAGAAGAAACCCTCTATCAAATAAAAAAATAATAATTCAAATAGCAAATGCGATGATGATCGGAATCTCAGAAATTTCTCTTACGAAAAGCAAGCATTCTCAGATACTTTCTAGTCGGTCATTGTCAATCTATGGGAAAACATCAAGCTGATAAGCTTTTCACGGAATTCAACCAAAAGCAGGAAAAAGCTAAAGAGGTTCCATTAATTGCATATAAGCATTGATTTTTAGGGCCGAAAAAGAGGAGCCCATATTAACTTTGACACTTGGAATTTAGTATATTTTGACTGGGTTTTCTGGGTACTAAAGAATTAATAATACAACAAAACAAAAACTATACACAGATAGAAAACAAGGCAGGGATGGAAAAACCCTAGTCAAGACGGCAACAGAGTCCTGGGAAAAGAGAAGGGAAAACGAAACAAATTTAGTATGGCTTTCATGCTTAATATATATACTTATGAATAATCAACTGAAATAGTTATCTTGTCATTATGTCATCCTTCTTAACAGTAAAGTCCCACAGGTCCCCATATTTCTCATTGAAATCCCATATGTCCATGGTATTATAGTCATTGAGCAACTTGTCCCGAGCTCCCCTTTCCATATTGTATATCTCAGGTTCAAAGTGGTGGGGTTTGTCAGGTTTATCCATCTCAATGATGCAAAATATTGCCGTGAATAATCCTGTTGCAATGTATAAGTACTCCCCCTGAATGACACATGATGAATATGATTATTTCTTAGCAAAGTAAATTGCAAAATTGCTTGTTATTCCCAGGTAGAGTAGCCTTTGATTCGGCTGTATAACACTTTATCAAGCGTCTAATTAAATTTAAAATTTAAAATTACCGGAACATGGAAGACAATCCCAGCAACGATGGCTGGAGGGTAAAGCCATGAAATAAGCCCTGCAAAGAAATGGAAAAAAGAGTTCGTAGCCGAATATGTTAGGATTTTCAATCGGAAAAATCTTGTGTGTGGTTTCTTGCTTCTTTGGCGTTTGTTGTTGATGAGTTGTTTAATAAAGTAATGATATACAATTGGACTGTTTTTTGAGGAACTTCACCTAAATATATGTCATATGGAAAATTGTAAACTACTGAAGACGTGGGGGAATCGCACCTTGAAATCCTGTGGGGGGTTCTGCTGCTGCTATCTCTTCAGCAAGTAAACCCCAAAATGTTCCTGAAATGAGCCCATATTAGTTAGCCATCAAAAGTTGCCTTCTTCAGGAATAAGTCTTTCTCGACCCTGAAGAGTAATGGAAGCTGCTTGTTTCCTTAATTCAGGAGCACTTCTCGAATGATGTATTATAATTACGTAATGTTCGTCATTAATATTAACCATGCCATTTTAAACTGTCATTAAAACTGATTTCTGCTGCCTGTAACCCGGAATCAATCAGTTTCTGAGGTCTTCTCAGTGCTTTACTTAACTGTCCCAGCGAATTATTTGCTTTCATCCTTAAGTAATGAGATCTTTCCATGATAATTTTCTAGGAAGTGTTCCTGATTCTTGAAACATCAATCTATCTTTAATTGGTAGTGATGCATTACAGAAGAAAAAACCACGACGGAAGATTCATTAACACTCAGTGAGACCCAGATCAAAGTTCAACTGGGATCTCGAAGTTTGGGCTGAATGCTACAAATCAGTTCAATCTTCATTTACATATGTTCTGTCTTTCTAGAGGATGTTAATATGTATAAATAATTATCAATAGGAGTAAATATTGTTTTGCTCCTTTTTTCTTTCTTCTAAGGAAATTTCCCAGTTCCTTCGACTCAATAGTCTAATTTCTGACTCTAGTCAACAAAAGCCAGTCCCCTCGAATTTTCTTTACATATAACTTGCATAGCATTCATAAGATCAAACTTTTCCATCAAAATATTACGACTAAAATACCCAAACACTTAAAATATCAGATGTCATAATCAACTGTAATAAAGCTAAGTATCCTCCATCAACCACATCTATCAGTACGAAGCATCAGGTCACACGAACATTGTACTAAAGCTCACGAGTGATTTAAAGTGACACAGCTCTCTAATATAGATATGACCTTATGTAAGGCGTTGGTACATCACTTTTCGCAAATTCTTTATAGCATAAAAAAGAAGGGTAAAAACATTGAACCACAGGAATATTCAGTAGATTAGCCAACAATAAAGTACACATTACACAATAAACTCTTATACCTTTTTTCTCTCCTTCGAAATAAGTATGGTGCCCATCATACTCTCCGTACTTGAAATCTTCCTGAAGCATATCCACAATAAAAATCAAAATCAAATCCAAACGCCATAATCCCCAAATCTAATTTATCACTCACAGTGTGCCATTCCCAATCCATAGAGAAAACTTATGAATTATAACATACAGGGCTTATGCTATTAGTTTCCCAACGATCTGGGGGATCTTCACTGATATCGGGTTCAATCTCGGCGAAACCCGCAGCATTCAACCTCGTCGACGAGGGGCTGCTTCGAGCTCTCAAAACTTGTTGCAATTTGAATGGTGCAGGAGCTGATGCAAATTTAGGGTTGATGGGAATTGAATTTGCAGAGAGAACTGAGAGTGAAGAACGAAGCGCCATGCTTGTGTTTGTTCATCTGTTATCCGTTATGTTGGGCTTTAAATTGCTCGCGCTTCGCTTATTATTCGTATTACCACTTGGATTGGATATACAAATGCGGACACGTGGCACCTCATGCTTCATCTCCGTACTTTATTTTGCAGAATATATCAGGGAGTGTTTAAGTAAAAATTAAACCATAGTAATTTTACAATATACAAAATAAATATGTGAGAAAAGTTTTATTTTAACGTATACAAAAATACTTTTTAAAAAATACTTTTAAGAAAGCCAAACACCCTTTAAAAACAAATTAAATATTAAAAAATGTACAACAATGACCGGAGACTTTGTTTGGAACAAAAATAATACTATTATTTATTAAATTTTAATTTTATTTTTGTGAAAAAATTATAGAAAATGTCATTTTAGATAAGTTTAATCTGGCAAGACATCATAGCATGACTTGTAAATATATTAACATATACAAGAATTTAGTAAGTAATTAAATTCTTAATGTTAAACTTCTTTACACTCTTCTCTTTTTATAAAGGAAATAAAATATAACTAATAACTTTAATGTATACAACATGGATCCTTATCATTTCTAAACTTGGAATAAGATATATTATTGTTGAGAAAAATGCCGCTTCTCACAATTAGATTTATTAATTAATATTATTGACGAATGTTAAAATTTATTACTATTAGTTATTAAAACTTATTTTTATATATAAAATAAAATAAAAATAATAAATTTTCAATGACCAATTAATAACAAATGATGATTTAAATAAAAAATATTTCCAAAAACAGAAAAACAAAAAAATCTAATGTAAATAATCTAACTAAAATTAAAAAAATTAAAGTACACATGGATCCCTACATCCAAAAAAGATTCCCTCCTTTTTTGTTGACTCAGCTTGACTCATGTCTAGGTTCTGTAGTGTATTTATGTGAGTTCTCTTTGTCTCTCACTCTCTTCCTCGCTTGCTTAGATCATATGCTCATTTTCCTGCAACTTATCATTGTATTGATTGCAGAGAGATTTGGGGGGGGGGTTTTAGGCAATGCCAAACAGCCTCAGATTTATCTTCACTAAAAGCCCTAAAATGAGCTCAGGTCAACCCAACTAAGTTTCTCAATTTTGTAAGCTGACTGGTGAAGAGAAAATTTAAGAAAGTAGGCATAGGCATATTATACTTATACTGAAGCTTTTATAATTGGCGTCAGTAAGTATATCTTCTCAAACTTTTTTTGAATTGAAGTTATAGTGATTCCTTGGTTTTCCCCTAAAAAATTTCAGGAACATAGATTGAATGAGGGAAATTTCATAAATTTAGTTTCAAATCAGAATTTAAAACTTGGCTGTGGAATAAGATAATAGAGTTGTTAACGATGCAGCTTCAATTTGATGTTTAACTCATGGTTTGTTCAGGGAGATTCCACAGTAGATGCGGAAGAGATTGAGGGATTTGGTATTTATTTCTCTTTCTCTGTATTTTATGTTTATGTTTTCTCATTCTATTTATGCTTTATCACACTATATTAAAGAAAACATTTTTTAACCTTTACTCTACTAAAGCATGAAGTATGGAGCATGTCATAAATCCATATATGCAACAAAATTTACTTATGAGAAAGTAGTGTAATAGTGGTATTAGAGATTGAATTTATGGAGCTAGAAGGTTCTAGCATGTTCAATTACTTTAGACGCTAAAATTTTTTCTTTGTTCATGGTTAATATGTTTTTGGTCGCGTAACTTGCAATAGAAGCTTCTTAGCTGTTTTAGCCTGAACAATTCAGAACTTGGTCCACACAAGGATATGCAGCTAGTGATGGATATAGTGACTGAGGAAGAATATACTTATAAATCTAACTTACTTCAATAATTCATACATATATCCAACATTGACAAGGTATCGATTTTTAAGTCTGATGCTGTAAGCATTTTTTATCATCTATTTTTTTCCTCCCTTCGCCCTCTTTTGTATCAATCATGATAGTTTGATTGGTGATGATGTTTCTATAGTTATTTTTTCCCATAGAATTGAGCTCTCAAGGGATGTTTTGTATTAGCCAGCCACATCTTGTGGAAAATAAGAGAAGAAAGTTCATTCTATCCTTTACCATGTTCAAGGAAAGCAAAGTTCTGTAAATTTTCAATGGGCTCCCTTTCCCATAAAGATGTCTGGGGTTTCTATAATTGTTTCATCTCCTTCTAGGTCAAAACTTCTAGTGGTTCGAAATCCTGAGAATGAAGGACCTTCTCACTTTGAAATTTGGAGTTCATCTCACATGGAGAAGGAGTTTCATATCTCCTAATTGGTGCATGGTTTAGTTTATACTAATGGATGGTATGTTGTGATATGTGACTATTTTTCCTATTGTTATTCTCTTACGCTATTCACTGTTAAACTAGTAGTCTATTTAATAAATCAACATTAAATGTTTGATTTGAAACGTTTAGTTTTAAAGTCATAAAGGTAAACAGTAGCTTTTGTAGCAATTTTACAAACAGGTGTTGTAACACTTGAGCATAGAAGATAATTTTTCTATGGCATAGGTTTGAGGGAATCTATTGGAATCTAGGTGAAACTTATATAGCATATATAGCTGAAGAGCTCTCTCTTGTAAAGTTGACATTTCATGATATTGTCTACAAGAAAGGAGGGCTTTCAGACGACGACTGTAGTAGCTGGAAAGGTCAAGGGGATTGGGAAGATGGCTGGGGAGAAACTTATGCTGGAAAGCGGCAACCTACACTTTTTGTTATCAATGTCAACGCGTTTCATCTCTCATATGAATACCAAAATAATATGGATAATTTCTATGAAACTCTCAATTTAATTAGTGTTTTTACAGCAGAGAGGTATAGGCAGGCAAAGGACTTGACAAATCTATGAGTTATGGCCAAGTTGCGTGGGTTCCTTCTACTCAAGGCTCATAGCAATATCTGGTTTTTGTTGGATGGCCCACTATAACAATAAAACTTGGTATGAAGTATTGTTCTAACAGGGCTTTTGCATTATATGCTGTTAAAGCTCCATATCATGAGTCAAAAACCTTTGAAACAGAGCCCTGTAAGTTACTTTTCATGAGATCTTGATCCCCTTGTTTAAATACATAATAGGAAGTGAATATTTATTGTTAATTTGTTTATTTCCTTGCTAAATCATGAAAGTAATGCTGTATACATAGGAACAGTGGGGAGATGCATGCTCTTAACCTAACTCAAAGCATAAGCAGTGCCCCCTTTCCACACTTCAGTAAGCTGGTGGAGTCAAATACTTATCTTTAGCATTTGTTGCCTAATACAAACTAGGTTTAATCTGTGCATTTGTTATTTATTCTCCATTTGTGTTTTTCTCTCTCTTATAGATGACAAAAGATGTGTTTTCTTTGAAAATAGAACATTTTTCAGAACTTTTCAGCTTTTTATGTGCAACTATAATGTAAGATAATGGCATGGCAATTGAAAAGATAGCCAATGTTACAGATCTTTTACTGGATTGATGTAGTTATGATTGCATAAAGAAAGTCAAACCAACAGCCAGTGATAAGTTCTAGGCGTTAAATTGTAGGGTGTAGTAGATGAGATACTATTAACTAAGTATTTTTAGTTTTATTTAAAAAAAAGTCCTTTAGTTTTGAATTCTTGGCAGTAACATTGATTTCCTACTATCTACAAAGAAAAAAAAAAGGAAGGAAGACTAAAGACTTACTAATATCTATTGATCAAGTTTAGGTTGACTTATGTTTACTATGAAATACAGGTCTCCCTCCTTATTTCTTGACTTAGATAAATTCTGAAAATGCTAAGCCTTTTGGCGGGTTTATTCACTTATGCTCCTTTGCCCTGCTTTTACAAAACTAAACTCAATGCTTTCTTAAGAAGGATGCTGATCTAATGCTAGTCATGAATCATTATTATTGTTTCAGTTCTTCTATGTGTCAACACTGAAGTAGGGTCCAAGAAATCACATTATTAGTGATTCAAGTAAATGGATATTCTTTTTCACTTATGCCCTTAACACAACAATTATGGACAGTTAGCCACATCCCTCCAGGATGTGTATAAGTGTTCTTGCACTATACTCATTCCTTCCATAAATATTAATATGGCTACTTGGATCTTTATTATTCTTTAAGAATTTTAAAAGTTTGCCTTCTCTACTTTAAAATTATATTTTTATTGCCTTGTATTTTTGCATCGTGCTGTAAGATACTACACTAATTGTTAAAAGTTAAAACAATATTAGGATATCAACTGTATTTCTATAACCCTAATTGGTGTTCTTGAATTTCTACCAGCACAGATGGAAAGTTTCTTGTGTTTTTATCTAGAAGTTGTTCTGTAGATTCCGGAGTCCATCTTGCAACAAATTCACTTCATAGAATTGATTGGCCAACTGATGGGGAAATACACCAATTTCTAAAAAAAATTTTATATTATAAGTTCTTCCTATGTTAAGTAGAGAAGGCAAACTTTCAAAATTCTAAAAGAATAATAAACATACAACCAGCCATATCAATATTTATGGAAGGAATAAGTATAGTACAAGAACACTTATACACATCCTGGAAGAATGTGGCTAACTGTCCATAATTATCGTGTTGAGAGCATAAGCCAAAAAGAATATCCATTTACTTGAATCATTGATAATGTGATTTCTTGGCAAAGTCAACTGCTGATGTCATAATCCTACTTCAGTGTTGACACATAGAAGAACTAATTGCCTTGTATTTTTGCATCGTGCTGCAAGATGCTACACTAATTGTTAAAAGTTAAAACAATATTAGTATATCAACTACATTTCCATAACTTTGATTGGTGTTCTTGAATTTCTACCAACCCAGATGGAAATTCCTTGTGTTTTTATCTGCAAGTTGTTCCGTAGATTCTGGAGTCCATCTTGCAACAAATTTACTTCATAGAATTGATTGGCCAACTAATAGGGAAATATACCAATTTCTAAAATTTTTTGATATTGTAAGTTCTTCCTATATTACCTTTTAA